CCTGAATACCCAGCAGGTTACTAAACCGTGCAAACAAGAGACTTGAGGTATGTTAGGGTTTTACACATAACCCTAGTTCCATATCATCAAGAGCACGTAAATCGAGGAGTAAATCAACTTTCAAATCCCAACTCAAAGCAATCGGCCGTGATTTCCGACCGCACACCGACGAAACAGCCAACTCCAAATCAAAAAATTGGCCATGCAAAAAAATCCTAGCTAAATCGGGTCTGATCCGTCCCGTTTAGCCGGTCAAGTAACAACCCATAAACCCGAAATCACCAGAAACCAACTTCAATAAGGGGTTATAAATACCCCGGTGACCACAAGAGGTAGCCAAGGATCATCGGAGCAAAAAATGCAAACAAAAAACAACCATCACAATACCAAGAGATCGAAACTAGACATAGCAACACAGAAAAATCCAAAGCAACCAAACCAAAAACGTCAGAAAAAACCAAACCATAAACGTTCAAAACCGAAACCAAAAAGCAAGGCTTTGCCTCATCAAGGGTTGGCGTAAACGCGTAAGATCGTCATCGGAGAGGAAGAAACTGTTGGATGTTAGAATACTCCAGGAAAGGTAAAAATCGAGAGAACTTTTTTAGATCTACGCCGATTTAGGGAGTTTTTTTTGGGATTTGGGCTTTGGTTTCAGATTCCCGAGGTTGAGGTCTTTCGAAAGAGGTAAGCCTTTAGGTTTCCGACCATCGAAGGCGGCGGCCGGGTGGCGGAGTGTGACCAAGGAAGGTGACCAGTTTGACCCGTTGACTTGGGTTGAGAGGTTTTCTGGAGAGGGGGAGAGTTTTTTTTGGCTAAGTTGGGTTAAAATGTTATTTTTTTGGGTTTTTAGGTATTTATAACCGAGGGACTAAAGTGTAAATACAAGTTTTTTAAATTATTTTGACAGTCCCTATAAGTTTAAAGTATAATTCATTTTGGTCACCTGCTGTAAATTTACCCTTATATTTCGAATTTATTCATCATTGTTTATATTTTTATATTTTGCAAATTAACCGCCTAATTTTTGTTTTTTCTCTTGTAGTTCCTTTTTTAGCATCAATTTAATCCATAAAATTTCGAATTGTTTATATTTGATCCTTTAAATTTTTATTTATTTTTTATATTTTTTATTGCTTTTAATTTTAATATGTTTTTCATTTTTTATTATTCTTTTTTTAAATATTGTATATATATATATTACACTCTTTTATTTTATTATTTTTAAGACTGAACATTTTCTTCATTTTTATTTTTCTTAACATTTTTTTATTTTCTCAATTTTTTTATTTTTTCTCTCTCTTCGTTTATTTAATATATATTTTTCAATCTAATTTTTTGACCTTTTAGGGATAATTCCAATCGATCAAAGGTAATCAGTTTGAATTAAATTTTTAAATTTAAATTTCTTCAATTAAGACAACCGACAAGTTAAAATAGTATCGAAAGGGCAGTACAAGGGTTCTAATCCTTCCCTGACTGTAATCGACTTCTGAATCTGACATATTTATGGTAAAACACAGATTTGGTAAGATGATATCTGATCAACCTAAATATTGTTTTAAATAATCGTTGGCGACTCTAACGCTTTTTATTAAGTCAAAACTCAATTTCGGGCCTACCCAAAAGACGGTTACGACATAGGTAAAGTTTAGAATCTTTATTTTTTAAATAAAAAACATTTAATTAATTTTTTTCTTAATTAATATGAAATAAATATAAAATAATATTTATTTAAAAAATTTCAATCATTTAATATTAAAAGTTTAAACTATCGCCTACATAATAATGCTAAAGAAATATATGTAAAAATTCATTAAACCGAGCTTTATTGAAAATGATTGTGATGAAAATCAATTCCCCAAGAAGAATAATGTCTGCGTGTGGAAAGATAAAATTATTCTTTCGTTTTAAATAAGCAAAGCCCTTTTATTTAAATTACATTTTCCAAACGCTATTGTAAAAAAATTATTAAAATACATATGATGTAATTATTTATACAATTTTTTTTCTATAACCATCAATATTCAATTAATTAATTAATTAATCCGGCTCGGGTGTTGTAGATACAATAACAACCCTTCCAATCCAATTTACTTTATTTGCAAGTACCAATATTTATACAATTTTCATAAATAATTAATCTCTTAATTTTAAGATGGGTTTTTAAGAATTAGTACTAGTTAACAAAATTCATTTGAATAATTATATCTACCATGAAAATGTGTGGAGCTCCCAAATATGTTAACTTTAACATACAAAAGGAAATTATTATAAAAAAACATGCGTATTCGATCCTCAAAGTTACGAATCCATTCCAATGTATTTTTATTAATTGATAGTGAAACGTGAAAAAGAAAAGAACATAATACCTTTAAAATAATGATTGTAACTTGTATAAAAAAATAAAAATGATTAAACAACGCTAAAATAATAAGTACTGAATAGATAATACTATGTATTATTGTGGTAGAGAAATTAGGTTAGACACATAAACATATGAATCCTTACAAGGGACATTATCATGATTCAATTTCACCTAAAGTGGGAGCTCAATCGTCTGTCGGAAAACATTTTACTTGATTTTGTTATAATTTTACGCTTGTTTAATCACAGTGAGAATGAGAACGAAACCTATAATTTTGATTATAACCAATAACATCACAAATGAAAGAGGAATATCTCTAGAACGGGGGAATTAGAAGTGATACAGCCCATCGTGGAGTGGCTTTGGGCTGATGATGCCTGGAATTCCAAATGGTGGCCTGGATAAACTCCAGCTACTGGAGTGCTCAGCCCACCCATGATTTTGTATAAGAGGAGACGTGTCCCACCAATTCTTCACTTGCATTCCGAGTAACTCACTTTAAATTCTCTAACAAGCGTTAATTTTATTATAATTTCACCAAGATATGCCCCGAACTTATATTAAGTGTTCAGCCTCTCTTTATTGGTTTGAATTAGGTAATAAGGTTATTCTTAAAGTTTATCCTTAGAAGATAATTCTTTGATTTAGCAATAAAGCGAAGTTCAATCCTTAATTGATTGGTTTGCATAATGTTTTGGAACAAATTGGCCCAGTGGATTTTATAATATCTTTCATGATTTAACGCATTAAAGATATTGTTTTGATATTTCTCAAATCATTCGACTTGATTATATGTTTTCAGCATAGAAACTTAAGTTATTGAACCATTGAAGTTAACAAGCTAGAGATTCATTGTAGTCTGATCCTTCGTATGAACCCACATTCTAAAAAATGGTACGGCACATTGATTTAGTCATGTTGCATTATATCTTAGAAAACAAATATATGTATATATATATATTAAATTCTAAATCTTTCTGTAATTAATAATTTAGTTGTTCTAAACCTAAAGAGATGTTAACCATGTTACCATATATAATTATAAATAGCACAAATGATTAGAGGAAGAATGATTAATGTGAAAATTTCAGGCAGCCAGACCCACATTCAACTATAAAACAGGATAAAGAAGGTTAGAACCAAGGAATCCAAAGCCGCCATTTTATCTCCCTCTTTATTTTTAGTTTTGTAAAAATAAAAGAATCCAAAGATATTTCCTCTCAATAAGCAACAAACACAGAAGGGAAAAGTAGAGAAGACCAACCTCTTCCTAACCCAGTGAAGGAGAGTGGACTTTGTTATATTATTTATGATATAGTTTAAAATCATAATATATTAATATTATATTATTCTTTTATCATATCAAAGATTTAGAAGGAAAACGGAAACCCAGCTCAATCGGGGCAAATGTAAAATAGGCCCACAACCCATGTGCTCAAGTTTTGATTCGAGCAAATCTGGACCCTTGATTGATGTGACATCCAAATATGAACTACGGAATTATTGACAACGTATATTTACTTGAAAGAAATGGAATTTAATGTTTCTTGTAACTTTCCCTTATAAATTGAAATAAAATAAATTGGTTTTTTAACAAGTCCAAGAATATATCTTTGGACTAGTTCCGATTCTTTCATTCACTGTGAGTTCCCAACGGGACGTTTTTTTTTTTTTGTTTCTATGTAACGGGTCTGTAGATTCTAATCAACTCCAATTTCACACACTGAACCATACAATAGAATATGAAGAGAAAAAAATATAATTTCTCGCATCATTTAATTTATGTTTACAGTTCGGACTATAATCGTAAATTTATGTTCATAATTAACTTCAAGATAAGTTGGAAATAGAAACATTATATTTATTTATTATAATAAAAATAACATAGTAATATGTACTCAAATAACCTTTTTTGCATAAAAATTGCATGAGTGAAGATAATATTCGCTATTTGTTTTTACATACTAACAGGAAATTTCCCCACAATGTGTATCCATAAATAATATCCCACTAAGTGCTTTATGATTGTACGATACTATTTGTTCCGTTGCTTTGCTTCGACACACTCCAAATAGGTAAGGGAAGCTTCATTTTAGGTAACACACTCAAAACAGATTAAAAAATATATTTAAAGGCATATATTAATAACATATTTTTTTTCTATAAAATTATATATAAATAAAAATTTAAAATTAACACAATTAATAAAAAAAGAATTAATCGAAAAAGAATTCAAATTTCAAAATAAACTTATGTTTATCCTGATTAGAGGGTGCATCTGCGGCTGCCCTTATTGAATAACATATATAAATATATAGTACCTAAATGCACAATTAAATTTAATTTATAAATTGGCGCAAGCATGGGAATCAAACCAAAAATATATATATTTCAACTCAACCATATAAAGGTACTACAATAGACTTCACAAATACTATATATAATGAAATTAATTAGCCCAGTTAAACTATTTTTTTACCGCGGGCTACATTTTGTGCAGCCGCGTCAGTCTTTTTCGCTTACATATTTGCCCCTTTTCTCTTTACCACTAAAGGAGGGCCCATAATGGCTAAAACTTAAAAATCGGAACCACAAAAAGGAGATGGATAATAGCTGGAAACTTTCTAAAATATTTCAATTTTACTGCTAAGCTTTCTAACTTCGGGGGGTTGATAACTTCTTTTTCTTTTGCAAATTGGTCCATCCACCAAACCATCAAAGAGAGGAAAACCAATCAAACTCTGAAATTCTTGCCGGTGAATGTTTGACCAAACTGCCAATGGGCGGGAACGATGTTCCAAGAGGTGGACGTGCGCCTATCACTGCCTGTGACCCTGAAGGAGAGTGACTGACCAACCAGAACAGCGTTTGATTGCCAGTTCTGACCCCAGTTTCGGCTCATGCTCATCCAACCTGTCCTAGATCCTTTCACGCTAACCTTCACGATATCCCCTGCACCTGCCACGTTGGAGATCAAAACCAAGTTGAAGTAACGGAAACCGTTAATCGTGAACCTGATTCCTCCCCTCTTCCGGCATGGCACCCTACGTAATTTATTAAATAAAAGACGGAACGATGTTAGCATAAAACGCGGAGCATGATTGTTCGTGTGGAATAGACATTTAGTCAACAAGACAAGATCTTGGGAACTCTACTGTCTTTGACTGATTTCATGGTTAAACAAAACTAATAACAGTGACTTTATGCATTATTATCAATTAATCTACGTTTTTTTAAAAAAATTTGCATTAAACATGAAATTATTAGTAACAAATGTAGCGAGCTTGAAGGGGAACAGAGGATATACCGGCGGTAAGAAACGGGGACAATTCCGGCACGGTACTCAGCAATCTTAAGGAACATGGGCATGGCGAGGTCAAAATGAGGGCGAGGAGGGTTGCACCAGCCGCCATTGTCGTTCGGGAGAGCGTAATTTGGTGGGCAAAAGTTGGTTGCCGTAATGAGGATGGAAGGGCTTCCCGAATGACACCATTTTGGATCACTTGCACATTTTATCTCAAAGCAAGCGCCGCAGCTTAAGCCATTGTTGAACAAAGCTGTGCTCAACGCCGCCGTGTTAACTCCGTAACCTTGGCTGTACAAGTTTCCGTATCCACAAGCTCCACCTGCAAACCATTATAAAAACCAAAATAGTAATAAGTGCCGAGATTAAGGTAATAATGTACCTCAATACGTGCCTTTTAAAAGTCACAGACAAAACACAGGAGCAGAAGGAAGAAGATACCCATGGTGCCTGATGCATCAGAGCCGCCATAGAAGGTAGCATGGGCATTTTGCCATGCACCTCCGGAGTAAACTCCCGGAATTCTTGCTTCAGCCATCCAAATTGAGGATATTAAACCCACAATAACGCATACTACACTCACAGTACCCATTTCCTTTTCCTTCAACTACTTTGGGATAAACCACAAAACTCTAAAAACCAATTCTCTCTCTTCTTTTTTTCTTCAAAGAAAGGAAAAGGGAGAGATTTAAGGCAAAGGGGAGGGATGGAGGGGTACTTAAATAGATGGGTCTCAGCCTTTAAGGAAGGAGGGTAAGATAGAGAGGCCCATTATTTGGAAATTTCAAACAAATCATCATTAACGTTGCTTTCTGGTGAGAACCCTGGGTTATTTATTGTTAGAAAAAAGAACAGCGTTTTATTTAATAATACAGAAATTCCAAAAGGGATAAGCCTGATCTACGGCTATAATTTGAGATCAATTGAATTTGGGTGGTATGAGATGGACCCACTGAATTTAAATGTAAGCCAACCAGAAGACACTCAAAAAAGGAAATAATCCGACGTGTGGGCTGGACCTACTTAACCCCGCAATCATCGGCCCTTATTACACTAAATCTCGAGCCACTCCCTCCCACACTTGATTCCTGCTCCCCGTGCCGTGATTTCGTTTTTTCCCAGTATAAACTAATCCATTCTTATTATTTTCTTTTTTTATTAGTCTTATTATTTTCATGCAATTTATTACCATTCAAACCACAAAAATAAATTAAAAGACTACTTTTTAAAATATTTTTTAATACAAAAGTAAATATAATTATAAATCAATACAGCTGGTAATTATATAATTTAAATTAAAAATCGTAATACATTTAAAAATAATTTATATATGTTGATGGATAATGAGTGATGTGGTAGTTTGCATTAGTTTATATGAAGAAATGAATGATTTTATCAAATATTGATGTTTCATCCCTTTTTAATTTAAACATATGATCATGAATTTATCGAAATTTAGGAGAGATATAACTTGAATTCATGAAAAAAAAGGAAAAGAGACCAAATCTAAAAAGTAGATCATATGTGTAGTCTCGTTAAACTATATAAATTATTAATTATTAGGTCACGGAAGAGTGATGCCACGAGTGATTTTAAAGTTGAATTCTTTTAGAATGACAGATATATAATTACTCATTTAAAATTAAATTATGAGAAAATAACTTCAGTGATCGAAAATGCCTTATAATATATGATTTTAACCAATTTTTTTGGATTTGTGAAAATGACCAATAAATTCGCAACGTGAACTTCAATTTCCCAACACAGTTTCCAAATTCGCAATACAGAAGTCAAATTCACAAAGCGCATTTATTTTCGCAACACGAATTTTATTTTCAAATTCGAAACACAATATTAATTTCGCAACACAAATGTAAAATTATAATCACAACTCATAACCTAAAACCCAAAATCACAACTCAGTCCAATCTCCATCTCTCACTCTCTACAGCGACATCCGTCACCATCTACGAAAAAATCCGTCCCCATCTCCGGTAAAATCCGTCTATCTCCATCTCTCATAGCCACCCTCACAACCATTTACAGCCACAAATGAAAAATCAACCACCGATGATTAGTTTTTTTAATTATTTTTATTTTGAAATTTTTGTATTATTATTAGATTTTTCATATTTAAATTGATGATACATTTATTGATAATTTTAATATATAGATTAACCATTTCACTTAGATTGTTTAGTAAATTCATTCGGTTGCTGTCAATAATGCTAAATTGTTTAGTCTTTAACCCTGTGAAGTTAGTATTTGTCTTTGTTTTGTCTTTTGGTTGAAGTAATGCAATTCATTCAAGTTTCAATTTGCAGAAGAATTTTGAAACTTAAATTCGCAATACGAAAATAAAATTCGCAACACGAAAATCGCAATGCGATTTTAGTTTCGCGTTGCGATTTTCATTTTCACATTGCGATTTTCATTTTCGCGTTGCAAATTTAAGTTTTAGAAACTACTCTTTTTCTGCAAATTGAAACTTAAATGAATTGCATTACTTCAACCAAAAAACTATGATAGAATAATGACTTGGGTGAATACCGTGCTAGTTTGAAACATATTTGACTTTGTTTTCACTGTTTAATATCATGTCTTTTTATAGTGTATAATTTGTAGTTTTTGGTATATCTAACTTGGTATGTTCATTGTTTTTGTTATAATTTTTTTCGGCTTTATTGACTCTAAGGAATAAATTAAGCCTAGTCACTACAATAGCGTTGACACTTACACCTGTACAAAGAAAATTGTTTGAGGATACTTGCTTCGGGCCATGGCTGAAAGTACAACATCCAGGTGGAGATGCTATGTTGACCCATTTGTTTCTTCAGACCATGACTAACGATCTACCCGAGAGGATACAACGTGGTGATGAAGAGATATGGTTTCATTTTCCACCGGCGTATACTTGTTTTGGGCGGGTGGAGTTTTGCTTAATCACTGGTCTACGTTCCGGACACGATGAAGTAGGTCGGTACACTAGTCATATCGTCCGCCCATCATGGTTATCTCGAGTTTTTCCTAAGCTGGCAAAGGCGAAGCCCAGTTTACATGTCGACGACTTGAAAATATTACTTCTTAAAGATGGTTTTACTCAGATGGATGACCTTGATGTTGTCCGAGTTTGCCTTTTATTATATTTGAATGCCGACTTTTTAGGTGAAGAGGCCAGAGAACCTATTTCTGATGACCTAATATTATTGGTAGAGGACCTAAATGCATGGAACGTGTTTCCCTAGGGTTCATATCTATGGAAAGCTACCTGGAAAAAAATGTCGTCTTCCTTTGAGGACCGTCGTAGTTTGCGTGGCGATGGTTTCAAATACATTTTGGTAGGCTTTATTTGGGCCTTTAAGGTAAGAATTTCTATATAATGTTTCCAAAATTATAATTAATTATTTAACAATTACTAATGTTTGTGTATTATATTATTTGTAGATTTGAATATTTGAGGCTTTTCCCAGCATGCAGACATATGCAAGAAAAAATTCAAATGATATTCCTAGGGCTATTACCTGGAGGAGGATCAGGCTACTGGATTGGGAAGATTTACTACCATATACGACGATAAATGATGTAAGTTAACACAAATACTACCATATATAAACAAGTTATTACTAGTAGACGTTTGACTTTGTTTGAGCTTTTATATTGTTAGGAGGCAAACTATCCATTACAGAGGCTGAGCTAGCCACTGATTGGTGACATGCTAGTAAGCGTTTTTTTATGGGATAGATGATGAGCACCCCCCACTTCGAGAGCCATCACCTGATCGAGCTGATTATACACCTCCACACCGAGAGCCATCACCTATTCCATCACATCATCGAGCCTCTTCTCCACCATCACCTCATGATAGGCGACCGACAAAGATGCCACAACATTTATCTCCCCGTTCTCCACCTCCACGGGATGAGTAAGGGGAGTTACGTGATGAGGTCAGTGTTTTGCGTGATAAGGTCGATACTTTACGTGACGACAATGGTGCATAGCGTGATGAGGTACGATCTTTACGTGGTGAGGTAGATGTTTACGTGATGATAATGGTGTTTTATGTGGTGAGATATCTACTTTACGTGATGAGGTTGCCGCTTTACGTGAGATTGTTTCATCTTTGCAGAATGAGGTTCATACTTTACGCAATGAGATAAGTTTGTTTAATACTGTACTAAAAATACAAATAACCTTTTTTCGACATTATTTATTTATTTACTGATTTATGTATTAATTTATTTTTAGCGGCCCGATAAGGTAGATGCTTTACGTCGAATTTTTCTTGCACGACGGGGTTCACGCATCAGACATCGTGCACGTGCCATTACGTCTCCTTTCACCCCAATAGTGCCAAGACTCTGTAAGAAGAAGCCCGATTCACCTGTCATCGTTCAAGAGGCCCTTCCCATCGTTCAAGAGGCCCTTGTCATCGTTCAAGAGGTCTCTTCCACCATTCAAGAGCCCTATTTATATAGCATACTATGTCGACATATTGATAAACCCCCTCACGTGCCTGATATGATGGATGCGAGTTGGCTTTCGTATGAGTTACCGGCCAGTACCATTCCTCAGCAGGAGAGGAGAACACTACCGAACACAATTATGGATAATACCCTTTAGGCTAAGACCGCAGTTGATTTTTATCTACATGAGCGGAGCCAGGGGTGTTACGCTGACATATGCAAAATCGACGATAGTATGCATTTCTTTCTTGATCGGTATTGGTAGGGTGTTTTATTAGGGGTTGAAGAGAATGGCTATTTCGAATAGGGGTAAGTCTTATATTCTTCTTATATTGCATTTTGATTATTTTTTAAATTTATTAAATTCAATAATATATGTATTTTTTATCCATAGTATATTGATGCATGGGTGTCACATCTTCAGATTATAAGGAAATTGAAGAAAATAAAAAAGACACGATGGATTATTATGCCTTCGTCTTTTCACGTAGCTCACTTGAAAGATCAGAGAGACGCTTCATATGCGTTGGGTAATGGAAAAGCTAAGCTTTATCCTGCGTGGTGGGAGGTCGATAAGGTTAGTATTTATTTTTGAATATTTTAAAGGTGTTCATAAATTTTATTTGAAGTGCGCAATTGAATTATTATTTATGATTGCAGGTGTTTATTCCTGTTATGGAACGTCATCATTGGCTTCTCGTCGAGCTTCAGCTCCTATCCCTGAAGACGATAGTATATGACAGTATGTTGAATTACATACCATTGTCTGATTTGAAAGATATTATTTATAAGGGATGAAACGCTCATTTGGCTAAATACTTAGATGCGATTGATTATTGGACTAATTCTGGAAACAATAAGCCAAAAACGTTCAAAGTTACAATGATGAGAGACGAGATAGAGCCACAACAAACGGCGGGAGCCATAGGGGATTGTGATCCTCTTGTATGGATGTGCTTGGAACGTTTGACGACAGAAGGTAAACAATTTCTACTTCCCACAGATAGAGATAGAGGTGCAGTAGGGTTGTGGTTTCGTCATTTTATGGCTAGAGCGATATATTCGAGACGTTACCTACCTGCATCCGTGTGCTGAAAGTGTGCATAAATAACCATTTGTTATTGGTAAGTTTGAGTAAGTGTTGTTAACATACGTACTCTTTGTTGGTTTGAAAATGTTTGGTTAAGTACCTAGAATTCAATAATTTGAT